TAATGGGGGTATAGAATAGAACATAGTCCCTTTTTTTTTTTTTTAGAGATTTTACATTTAAAAGATAGGTGTATAAAACAATTACAATGAAGTATTTTGGGTACTATGATAAAAACAGATTGAGACATGAAAGGGGAAATAATCAATTTTACTTATGGGAGTCAGGAGAGTTTTCATAGGAAGAGAAATATATTGGTTAAAATCCCTTACGTGTACATTTTTCTTTTTGTTTATAGATGGCCTTCGCTATCAATTCAGGTTATTAAAATCTTGACCTCTTTCTCATTCATGTCTATTCACTTGTCATTAAATACTCATGCCTCATCTAAGTTTGGAATGAAAGTGTCACAAGACACATCTTTCACTATTTCCTGATTTACTAAACATGGAAATGTAGCTCAGGACCTGAGCATTCAGTGATCTCATGTGACCATGAGAACATGAATAAGGAAGGAAGTGCAGAAGTGAGTATGATGACCTCTTACAAAGCCCCTCTCTGGCTAGAGAGGTAGGGTTTTAATTAGGTAGGCAAGTGTCACATCTATTCTGCAGACATCAGAGATGCAAATTAAGCTTAGTATCATCCTGTTTCCTGAGAGCCATCCCCAAAGATATATACGGATGAAATGAGAGAATCTGAGAACTCCATAGATCTCAGATTGGCCAAAACAGAATCAGCATCATATGATGGTGGCAGTCTGAAAAATCAGGAAATCCAAGAGACACTCATCCCTATATGCTTTTTTAGTAAATCAGTTAACATCTCTGCATATTCATTTACTCATTGGAAGAAAAAGAGCTAGCATTTCTAGTGTTAATCTCTGTCTATTGGATGCTATAAAGTAAATGAAATGTAGTCCTGTTCTTCCAACATTTGAGCTACTTCAGGCTTCTAAAGTGAGAAAAAATGTACAAATCATTGAAAGAACAATATGTGTAAATCTTTAAAAGAGCAGTAAGTGAAGTAATGCATTTAAACAGAATCAAGATGTACAAATGTATATAAATATACATATAAATATTTGAAAGAGCAAAATGTATAAATCTTTGGAAGATATCTTAATGCTTTTTGATGTCTTTTTGTACACTAGAAATGTTTGCACAGATGTTGCCATAATATCCATTTTCTAAGTAGCACGAGGTTTTCTTTCTTAAAAGGGAACCAAAGGACAGTCATATTGTGGAACATTTTCATTAAGCAGACCATATTTTATTAAAAGCGTTTTTTAAAGCTGTTTCAATTTTCATGTTACCCCATTGAGGATAACAATTCTGAAAGCTAACTGCTGATAAAAATACCATTTGTATTCTAAGTATAATACTTTCCTATTTGAGAAAAGTTTTCTCTGGTTCTAGGATACAGAAATACAGTAAATAAATTTGTGTTTTCCATATCCACACCCACCTTCCTGCCTTTGAGATCTGTCTGTGATTTTGTGAGACAGAATGTTATATGAAAGTGAACACCAAATAACTATATTTCTCTGCAGCCCCAAGAGTCTATGATTTTCCAAAAATTAAATACCCCAAATCATTGGAAATTTCTAGTATAGCAGATGCTACTGCTTTTCCTGGTATAATGGAATGAGGTACTATTTCAGGTGTTTATTCTCTACTGGTGTGAAGAAAATATTTGTAAATTCGTAGGGCCAACTGATCAACTCATATGCCTTGATCATTTGTGTTCAAGGCACCCTGCCAAGTGTTGTGGTGATAATACAAATAAGAAGTCTATATTTTGATACCTAGGATGCTTACAGTCTAGTTAGAAAGACTAGACACATGGTGGGAAATGCATTTTAACATGAGACACATGAGGCATCATCTAATAAAGGGGCATCTTAATAGAGCTTGGAGACTCAGAGGGCTCCCTGTGGTTCCTGAGGTTGTAGAAGGCCTCCTGGAGGAGGTGATGGGCCCCGGAGGGTCTTCCCAACTGTTTCCAAAAGAAAATGAATTTGAAAACACTCAGATGTGTAATTGCTCCTTCTAGAATACCGTTAGAGTTTATTTCTTTAAGTATTTAACCACATTTTCCATATTGTTTGGTTTTTTGTTTGTTTGTTTTTTGCCATTCATAGATTTCTTGGTGGTTTGGGGTTGCATTTGTGTTTTTATTCTCTCTTGATTTATCTGAGAAATTCTGGCACTAGCAGGTTTGGGATGTTTTCGTTCAGACATTCTTAAGTTATTTGGTAAGGAGTAAAGTCTTTGTTGCATTTTTCTGCTTAGAAACTGCTTTTCTTTTTCTTTGTTTAAACCCTGAACTCAGTAAAAACTCTTTATTTTTATAGCTTGTTCTGTAAAGCAATATCTTTGGAGGCGAGAGAATAAAAAATACTCCCCGCCCCCCCCCCCACTGGAAGTAGCCACATCTTCAAAAAATATTTAATACGTTTAAGAGATGTCAGAGACACCCTTACAAGAACATACATGCACATGGTTACAGAAAAGAGAGCCTAGTCCTTTCGATGCCCATATCAGCAGGCCTCAGAATTGCTTGTGAACGACTGGAAACCATGGCCATCTGCCAGCCAGAAGCAACATCACCAGAATGGAATTCACAGTTACACTGTTAAGACTTATAAATACAGTAAGGGTCCAGGAGCCAGGACCTTCAGGCAAAGTCAGGCTTGTCTGGTCTGGTCTGGTCCGGCTGACTGAGCAAGCAAGCTCTCTTTTTGCATGAGGCCTTCCTCAGCCTCAGTGACTAAAACCGTTTGTCCCCAAAGCGAGAATGTCCCAAGGGATGGGGGGACAGCAGCCATCCCTTTTCTTGTCACACACTGTCATCGTTGGGGCGGAAGTCATTCTGAGAGGAAAGTCAGGGGGTTGCGTGGTTGGTCTGGGGACGGTGTTTGGAAGTTAGGAAAGTGAAATCATTTTTGAATGAGAATTCATTTCCCTTCAGAGAAACTGTGCCAAAGCCTAGCAACTGGGTGCTGTCAGAAAGGATGAAAGTAAGATAAGTTAAAGAACTGTACCCATAAAGGGTTATAGGAAGCTGAGAATGAAACCTGGCGATGGCCAGGGTGCGAGGTGGTGGTGGTAGTTGATGCCACTGGGAGTGAGCCAGGCAGCAAAAGTGACAGGAGACCACCAGAAGTGACCAAACGAGGCTGTCTGAAAGCTTAGCAGAGATGTACTCTATGGGTCCTTTCTCCCCTGCCCTACTCACCAAGACGGGCAAGTGGAGAACCGAGTTGATAATGATCTCATTCAGTGGAGGCCAAGCCAGAGGCCCTGGCAAATGCCATCGAGAAACACTTGCTCTCTGCCAGGTAGCAAGTGAAACACATGGTCTGTATTTTCTCATTTAAACTCACGATGACCATGTGAGGAAACTCCTACTATTATCTCCATTTTACCCACGAGGAGACTGAATCTTAGGAAAAAGTCATGCCAAAGGTCACATAACTGGGTAGTGAGAGGACGGTCTTTGTTTGACTTCAAATACCTTTAACTTCAGAGCCCACACTCCGCAATGAGCATTCGGCTCATTTCTTCATTTCTTTGCATATTCACACAGGTATCCTGTAATGGCAGCTTGCCAGGCACTAGGCTAAAAAGAGGTTAAGAAAAGACACCTCCTGCTCCGTTCTCTTGGCCTGAAACTTAACAATCTAGCCGTGGCAGAGACATAATAGTCACAGAAGAATCGCGTCAATATTTAACAGTGCCCTGTGACAAGTGATGTTAAGGAAAGAAAGGAACAAGAGAATGGCTAGGTATTAGGGTGAGCATATCCCACTTGGTCAGGGAACCATGAGCAATGATAAGTAATAGTAAGGAAAGGTATAGATACGCACTAAAAAAATGTGGTATTATTCTGGGGAGTCGAGGAGAATTTTCCTGAGAAACACTTATGCTTCAGATCTGAAGAATTAAAGGCCTATCCCTAGCTGGAGAGGAGAACAGGCTGGGGAGCAGGAGGCTAGCAGGTACCAGAGGCCCCGAGGCTGCCGAGAACGTGACAGATTACCGATTCTCTGAGTACTCACCGACAGACCGTGTAAACTCTGGACTCGTCACCTTTATTGGTTTCATATTGCGCAATTGCACCTCAAATGTCTTACTGTTTCCCAGATGAATTGATATGAAGACACTCTCACTGTTCTTTATGCATTTTTAATTTGTTTGTTTTCTGCTAATTTTTCTCTGACTCAGCTCTCAGGGTTTGAGGGGAAAAAGAGCCACATGCTTCATTGTCGTTGTATTAGTTCCTAAGATGACATGCACTTCGGTATTTAATAAATACATTTTTATGATAAAGAGAAAGAGTGGATAGTAAATGTCAGTTCAGAGGATGATAGAATTTAGTTGTTTTTAATGATGTGCTCAATTAGGAATTGACATTGCCTGGGAAAAAAAAATCTTATCTTTCTATATTACGTGAGCTAGGAAATAGATTCACTTTTAATTTTTGCTAAGTGAAGCTTTTTAATATTACTTGAAACTAAATGGAAAATTTTCCAAATTAATGCTTGGCAGTTTAGCATGTGGGGGGAAAAATCTTTCCTCTAAAGCAGCTTTCCCAGGGAACAGATTAGTATTAATTAGGGGGTGTTTTACTAATGGAATATTTTTCTTGCCATTGATGTCACTGTCCTGCATCCCAGAGGATAGCCTTATTGACAGTGATTGCTCTTCTGTGTGATAGACTATAGGGAGACAGACCATTTCCCAGAATTCCATTTGTCACACACCCTGAGACAACTGACTTTGGCTTAAAAGCCTGAAGCTGTTTGTCGGGCCTGGCATTATTTAGGACCCTACCTGCTAAGACTGTAATTGGCCCAGACTCTTCTTGAACTCCACCCATATTCTTTCTTCATTATACAAAATAACTCGTAGGGAGCTCCTGGCTGGCTTAGTCGGTAGAGCATGCAACTCTTGAGCTCTTGATTTCCGGGTCATGAGTTTAAGCCCCACATAGAGCTTACTTAAAAATAAATGAATGAATAAAAAACAAAATAGTCCTTCAGTAACTTTTCACACAATTAAGTAGGACTCCATCAATCTTTTTATTATCTGTAGTAGATAAGATGGTGGAGAACACAGCAATATGACGCCTTTACAAAGCCTTTACAAACATGCTCTCTATTGTATTTATCTTTGCATCTCCAAGGCTGAGAGCAGTGATTACCTGCCTGATAGCAGACAATTTAATAAGTATTTATTAAATGACTGATAGACAGAATGAATGACAGTCATGTCCCCTGCAGTTAGTCAGAGGTGGGCTCCAGATCATGACTTTTGGTAACCGCCTCAAATTTTCTTGCTACTTTTAGGAATTAATCATCATAGATTTAAAACCATGAATATGTACAGTGGGAATGCTCAGAATATTTCTATAATATTTGTATCAGTTTTCTATTCTGAATAATAAACTAGCTCAAAACTTAGCAGCCTGAAACAAATTGTCTCACAGTTTCTGAGAGTCAGGAATCTGGGGATAGCTTAGGTGGATTCTTCTGGATCAGGATTTCTCGTGAGGCTGCAGTCAGGCTCTCTGCTGGGGTGCAGTGATCCGAAAGCTTGAGTAGGGCTGGAGAATCTGTTTCCAAGCTCACCCATGACTGCTGGCAGTAGACCCCACCACATGGGCCTCTCCACAGAGCAGCTTGATTATCCTCATGACATGGCAGCTGGCTTCCCGCATAGCGAGTGATCCAAGAGAGGTCTCTTTTATGATCTCGGTTTCCCGAGTTCCATACTGTCATATCCAATGTGTTTGATTCCCTAGAATAGAGGTGATTCATTAAGTCGAACCTACTACATTCAAGGGGAGGTTAATTAGGTCCTACTTTGGAAGAGAGAAGTATCAAAGAAGTAGTGGACATCTGAAACCACTAAAATATCTAAATATTGAAATCCCTTCAACATATTAACATGAATTGCATGCTTTTTTAAGTGGCACAATATATCACAATGTTCCATTTGTCAATAAGAAGTGCTTTTAGACAAAGTGGTTTTCCTGGAAATTAGCAAACTGTTTTAAAATGTTGTAAGTAATGCCATTTAAAAAAAAAAAAAACAACTCATACTCATGAGAACGAGAATCACCAGTACTTGAAGAATACAACTAATGATTTAATTTTATCTATTTTCTTTTATTCCTCTGAAGTAGATTTCAACAAATTCAAATTAAAACAAATTAAGAACATGTGCTTTGTACCAAGTACCATGTTACATGCTGTGGGAAGGGCACGTATGAAAAAGATACAGTCGATCCTAAAGAAACTGACAGTAGAGCAGATGATGGACACATACCCAAAACTTGGTACCATACCACACTTGCTGTAATGAGTTTTTTAATATAGCCCCAGAGACAGTGTTGTGGACGTGTAAGGAGAAGAAAGTTAATTGACATTGGAAAATGAGAAGACTTCTTGCCAGAAGTGCCCCTTGAACTGGGCCTAAAAAGATGAGAGGCCATCCAAATAGAAGAGATTGTGGTAGTAAGGACATAGAGGTCAGAACACGGAGGTCTCCTGGGATGGGCACAGCGGGGAGGAATCCTGGACTCTAAGACTGGAAGGATGGAGCCAAGCAGGTACATGCCTTGAGAAGGTACACCCTGGGCAGTGGAGAGCTACCAAAGTGTTTTGAACAGGGAGATTATTGAATAAATGAACAGACCCATACTTCAAGAATTAAAGCACATGGAGGGGCGCCCGGTGGCTCAGTCATTAAGCATCTGCCTTTGGCTCAGGTCATGATCCCAGCATCCTGGGATCGAGCCCCGCATCGGGCTCCCTGCTCCGTGGGAAGCCTGCTTCTCCCTCTCCCACTCCCCCTGCTTGTGTTCCCTCTCTCGCTGTCTCTCTTTCTCTGTCAAATAAATAAATAAAATCTTTTAAAAAAAGAATTAAAGCACATGGAAATTATAATAACGATAACTATTTACTTTATATTTACTATCTGCTCAGTGCTTTACACCTGTTATCTCTAGTCCTCAGTGACCCTTGACAGGTGTAGGTATTTTCATCACCATTTTACTAAGAAACTAAGGGGGTTTGTTGTATTTTAAGATTTTATTTATTTATTTGACAGAGAGAGAGAGCACAAGCAGTGGGGAGCAGCAGAGGGAGAGAGAGAAGCAGGTTCCCTGCTGAGCAGGGAGCCCGATGCGGGGCTCGATCCCAGGACCCTGGGATCATGACCTGAGCCAAAGGCAGCTGCTTAAATGACTGAGCCACCCAGGCGTCCCAAGGAACTAATGTTTAAATAGTTGAAATAAATCACCCTGCTTGTGAACTGTGGAGTTAAAATTCAAACCGGGGTTGTCTGACTCCAAAAGTCCACGTTTTTAACACACACGTGTAACTCTTTCCTTAATATATTATGAATAAAATGTTGGGAGCATGTTGAAGAGTACACACATGGCTTGTCAAGAAATAGTTTAGGAAACTTAAATTATGAGACCCAAAGAACTTAGTATTCTTGTCTCTTACTTTTTTATCCCTATCTGTAAACCAAACTACTTACCGAAAACATACAGTAAATTGCCAGGGGCAGTGCGGGGGGGGGGGGGGTGGGGGGGTGGGAAGCGGAAATCCAGTCCTGTTGCATCTAAACCATTCACCAAAAGGAAATAGTTCAAAAGAACAGTACTATTGTAAGCTTCAAAAAAAGGAAAATACCTGAGCAGACCTGCCCCCAAACATTTGCAGTGCTAGGGGCAAGACAGATGGAAACCTACATACCATATGTCTAAATATTAAAAAATGATAAATCAGGCTAACAAATGGTTAAATCAAATAGTCTCTCTCTTCCTACCTTGACAAATATATGTGCAGAATTACAAAATGGAAAAATACATGGAAAACTATGGTTCTTATATGACTGAAAGTCAATGAAATATCCAATGGCTGAATTGAATTATCATTGAGCATACCTGGATAGTCTGTTGCTTCCATGAAAAATTAAATTAGGTTATACACAATTAATAAATTATTACCCATAAAATTTATTTATTTGTCTTTATTTCTGCAAATCCGTAGTCTTGTTGTCATAACAAAGATTTTCATGTAACTTGTTTTCTGTTGACGAGAGTGATCAAAACTTTAGATTTTAAAGTATTAAAAGTGAAATGTAACTTTATTCAAATGTGTGCAACTTGAATATATTTTATTTTCATCACAAGTGTAAATTAAACAAATGTGACAAGATTATTTTCTTGTATTCTCAGAAGTTGTTTTTCATCTAAAATCTTCACTTTTCTGTGAGATAAAAGGTTAAATTCAAAGTATAATTAATGAATGTAAAATGTAAATAAAAGTGATTTAAATGAAGCTGGGGTTTTTTAACTTAATCAAATCTTAGTAAATATTTTCATAAAGATAAAACTGTGAGCAATTGTAGCATTCAATATTGACTTCATTGCCGAAGAATCTCAATCACATAAGTCACTTCTAGCCTACATATATTTAACTTTAAGAGGAATAGGAATTGTTTGATATTATAAGATGTGCTTCCACCACAAGTGCCACTGTTGGCAATATTTTGTGCTGATAGGCGAGTACTTCTGGAACCGGGAATTAGAACATGAAAAGAAGCAGCAAGATGGAAGCTTGGCACTACTGGAAAATGATACCTCATTATCCTTTGCACTCATGCTGAGATGAAACACTTGACAAGTTAATTAATTTGTCTTTTTCTTACCTAAGTGCTTCTGCTGCCCTATTCTCCCTGCCCTTCAAAGAAGTGTCCTCTGACATTGGCCTCATCATAATCCAGAAGACACTCTCCCATCCTCAGAATGAAGCCGCCTTGGGCTTCCAAGACACAGAGCAGGAGATACAGAGAAGCAATCCCCTTTGGAGCCTGAACAGTGCTACTCACAACAGCAGAAGTTTGGACTGACTCGTGATGCTGTGAGGCACTGAGCACCAAATTCCAAATGTGTGTTCGTCATACTTGTGGTTCTCCCACATGCAAGGTGGTGCTGTTGTGGAGCATCGCTCATAAGTGATCAGCACGTACCAGTTTACACCAGCGAGACGAATGTCAGGGTGGGTTGGTGGGTGGGGGTTGGGGATTGCAGGGCGAGGCTGCCGGCATGAAGACTTCACCTGTAAACATTTCTCACTATGAAACAGTCTGGTTTTAATAGTCACCAGATTGTACCAGGAGAAAAAGGAAGATTACAGGGATCCAAATAATATGTGACAAAGGAGAAGACGGAAACTGGGAGGAAATGAGGTGAAACACAAGGGAATGAGGTATTGGAAAAAGGGAATGAAAACCAGTGGAGAATAGAAACACCTGAAGAGCAGTTCTGGAAACTTCACTCCTTCCTGCTCTACAAGAGACCAGCTCCTATGTATACCGACCTGAATCTTTTTTTTTTTTAAAGATTTTATTTATTTATTTGAGAGAGAGAATGAGAGAGAGAGCATGAGAGGGGAGAGGGTCAGAGGGAGAAGCAGACTCCTTGCTGAGCTGGGAGCCCGATGTGGGACTCGATCCCGGGACTCCAGGATCATGACCTGAGCCAAAGGCAATCGCTCAACCAACTGAGCCACCCAGGCGCCCCCGACCTGACTCTGCTACTCCTGTCTGCAAATGTGGCCACATTTAGCTGTTTCTTATTAACATTGAGGTACTCTGAGACTTTGGAGATCTTCAGTAGCAGAATCAGGACTAGAGAACAGTAAAAATAAATAGATGATAGATAGATAGATAGATAGATAGATAGATAGATAGATAGATAATAAATAAGTAGCTCGCCTGGACTGCCACTCAGATCTTCCCAGTACTGTACAGAAGCAGAGCAAAATAGTGATTTTGGTTTTGTGGTTTAAGACAACCACTGTGCAACTTCTTAAGTGGTTCATGGCTGTCCATGTGTTATCCTTATAATTGAAACAGTATTTCCCGCTTTTCCCAGAGTAATAATTTTAAAGGTGGGGTCTCGAACCTTGGGTACAGCCTGGCCTCCACAGTGTGACACTGTTCCCAAAATGACAGGGGCTACAGAACAGATGGGCCAGGGTGAAGACTGCAGGATTGGGATCTTGCTCCTGGGACAGAGTTGGGAAGGGAAGGCCCAGGGCTGTTTCTGAGCCTTGATGGGGGTTTGGAATGCCTTTAAAGTTACTCATCAATGAAAATAAGATAGGCGGGAACTTGGGAACGTGCTGTTCTTTGAGAGTGACAATGGGAATAGCGAGGTCAATTGCTGTGAAGCCTAAATAATCAGACACGGTGAGCTCTCTCACCTGGGCGGCTATGGTTTATGTCACTGGCTTGCTGGATGGCTGCATTATAAACAGTGTAGTGGTGAAATCATTATTTATTAACGATCATAATGATAATGACACTGTGCTACAAATGGGTAATGCATCTCGGAAGCGCTCAATAAATACTTGCTGAATAAATACTCGCTGAATAAATACTCAAATAATTGGCTCAACAAATGTCTGTTGAATACCTGTTATAAAAAAAGTTGCTGGGTCCTGATACAAAGATGAATGTGTTTCAGCCAGAGCCTTCCCAAGAGATTATAGTTTTGCAAATATTACGCCAACGATGAACGAATGACCCAAGGTGCTTTTTTTTTTTTTTTTTTTTTAACGTTAAGGATTTTGAATTTGATTTTTGGAAAAAGCCAGGAGAGAACTCAGAAGATGTAATTGAAACTTACATTTTGTTTTTTGAACATGTCCCAATATTAAGAAAACCTTACTCTTCTCCAAGTTACTCTACTGATTATAATATAACTGGAAATTAAATGTTGAAAACCCAATCTCACACATGCTCCGGATGCCAAAAAAGTCACTTTTCATTCAGAAGAGCACTTTCCATGGCATTTTTTTTTTTGAAAAAGTTACCATAAGGAAAAAGAATATGCATGACAACAGATTACAGGAAAGAGGCTCCCACTTAGCTTTTAGGTTATGCAACTTCCTCACTGATGACTGAGAGAAAAATAAAGAGGCAGCAAATAATAAAGGGTAAGGCAGGAAGTGTGTGGTGACAGGAGTCCCAAGAGGGCTCACCAGGCTGGTGCCACTAAGGAAACACATCTCTAAGCCAGCTAAAGTTGTCCTGCTTCTCACATAATCCCAAGCAGAGCACAATGCAGTGTTTTTGTTGTTGTTTTTTAATTTCATTTTATTATGTTATGTTAGTCACCATTCATTACATCGTTAGTTTTGACACAATGCAGTGGTTTAAATATGTACAGAGAAATGGAGAAATAAGAGAATGAGGTCTTCACCTTGCAGAGGGAGTGAGATTCACTTGTGGGTCTCCGCGCAGCTTTTCCCAACTCGTGGGCAGCTGGGAAGTCACGCAGCGGTTCTCAAGTCAGCTCACGTGGGGCCTGATAAGCAACAGACACCAGAGGGGGTGTGGATTCAAAACAGATAATAATGTAATGCTTTTGGTAATACTAACTGCCCACCACCGTCCAGTGTTTACTAAGAGTTGACAGGACACACACATTATCTCATCTAATACAACAACACTAGGAGGAGATATTATCAACCCCATTTTCTCGAGGGACACAAATGATCAACTCGGGCCTCAGAGAATGTGTTTGTCCAATGTGACGAAGCTGAGAAGGGGCAGAACTGCATTTGAAGCCAGCAAGGAGACTCCAGGGCTCACGCTGGAAATCACAGGGCTGGGCTACCACTAGCGACCTGTTTTTCCTCAGGGAATTTGTAAATGAAAGATTGGTTACAATGTTAAGCAGAAGGTGTCAAATGCTGAACGAATGAACGATAAAAGCTGGAGGGATGGGGTGGTAGAGAACTCAACGTCTGCGGTGATGTGGGAAGCCCTCCTGAACAAGGGGGCATTCACCTCTGGTGGCTGGAGAATCAGAAGTGCTCAGATTGAGAGGTGAAGGTTCCATAGGAGCTCTTTTCAAGAGGTCCTGTTTTATCATCTTATTCATCTTGAGTGGCACTAATGAACATTAAAGATTTCAACAAAAATAAATACATTGAGGACCCACTATGTGAGGGGCATTCTTTTTGTTGCTTTAAAGCTTTTTAACGTTCTTTAAAGGACTGGTTAATCTCCAGGGTCTAGATCCATTAGACCCCAAGCCAGATGGCTCCGTGGAGCCTCTGGGAATGACTGTGGAACAGTCTTCACGTTCACACATACCCATGAGAAGAATGGTCCCCTGGGAATTTTGCAGACCTGCAATCTGGAGATAATGTAATTCCGATCATAATTCAACTGCCCCCTGATAGAGAGTTGCCAGATTTAGCAAATACAAATACGGGAGGCCCAGTTAAATTTGAATTTTAGAGAAACAACAAGTAATCTTTTAGTGCAAGTATGTCCCAAATATCGAATGGGATATACTTATACTAAAAAAGTTATTTGTTGTTTATCAAAATTCAGATTTAACCAGGCCCCTCTATTTTTCTGGAAACTGTAGCCAGGTAAGAACTTGGGGGGGGTGATACTCTGAGATTTTAATTTCTTTGGCATATATAAATACTCCCCTATTGAAAACATCAAGTCCGCTTAAAAAAAAAAAAAAAGAGGAAAGGAAAGAAAAAAGAAAAAGGATCGCTAGGGTTGCACACCCCCATGAGATGTGTTCCCTTTTAACATGAAACCAATGGAGCAGAAAAAGAGTTACATCACAAGATGATTTTGTGGAACCAGTATAAAGCCTGTGTTTTTATACCTTGCATATTCATTCAAGAAATCCTGTCCTTAAAATAATTGTTAGGGTTGACCCAAGTAACTCACTTACTCGGCATCAAGATAAAAATACATTTCAGGCCATGTACCCTGAGGATAAAAAAGGACTTGCTGAAAACTGGATTTCTGAGTAATGCCCCCATTAAAGATGACAAGTGGGGTTCACTGAGGAGGCATATGCCTTCAGATTGAATTTTAGGAATGACGATTGTTTTTAAAGTTGGAGTCAAATAATCAGTCTTTAAACCAAGTTAAAGTCAATGCTGCAGCTGCCTTCTGTCACTGAGACTGCTGTGGAAAAACTTAAAAGGTGCAATCAAACAGTTTTTCCTAGTGCATTTTTCAAAACAACTCGAAATCAATACAAGCACACCAAATGCAGAAAGCAAATATTTTTACCTATTTAACGTCTCCCTTACATGTAATTATTAAGTAAGATAAACTAATCTCGAGAGCAGTAAGGCACTTCAAGAGAATGTAAAGCATGAAAGGTAAAATGAAGTCTTGCAGAGGGAGAGACTTTAAATCACATTTAGACATAAATCCTTTCGGGTCACAATCCCATAGATTACCAGCATCTGCTAAACCTAGATAGTTTATAATCACTAAAATTGTTTTAATCTTCCTATGGAAGGCTTACCAAGGAAGTACTGAATTACACTGGGTTAATACTTCTAAGAATGAACAGTCAAGAAATCGATGCATAAATTAATGCAGTGGCTACAGAGTAAAATCTAACGTTTGTAACATATCTGAACCAGGCAGTGGCTATCAAAAGATATAGCACTCCATTAGGGTGACATGTTCTCAGCTCTGTAATCGCCTGGAAAGTTGCCAACCATTATTCGCCCTCACCCACTCCTGCAATTATCTCTGACCTGTCATATTCTTACCTTCGAGAAGAGAGGATAAAGGTTGGGTCTGTGAAATAGGGAGGAAACGATAACAGCAAAAGCACAGATATCCCAGGAAGGGAAGATGTGAGAATATGTTATCAGTGGATGGTGTTCTTTGGATTGAAGCATCAAGTCAGATGTGGTATGTCTCAGAGCCCGACTACCTACCATGCCCTGAGTGGGAGCATTGCACGGCAGCGTTTAGTGTTGTACAAAGGGTACGTTACGCACCCTGGTGTAATGGCACCATGCTGGACGAGGTTTAGTTCTCTAGGTGGACAGTGCATTTGAACTTGTGTAATACTGTAGTAAGTGCATAGGAATGAACATTCCCCTCCACTGACTTTCCTGGGACCCAGGGAAGTATTTCAATGCCACAGAGGTATAAATCAACAAATTATCGAAAAGCTAAGTGAATGTTCGTTCTACTTTAAGAGAAATAGCAATATAACATGTACTAAGCAGTGAGTAAAGTGATTATGCTCGATGCATTCATGCATCCTTTTAAACGGACTCTCTCGGTCTGGCTTCTCATTCCACACCCCCACCGCCTCGCTCTCACATTCCCTGGTCTCCAGGCAGACGTGTAGTTCCCTGGACAGTTCACTATACAGCCTCTTATATGCCTGTTTGCTTTTGCATGTCTTCCTGCCCCTGCTGGGATTCCCCTCTGCCCTCTGTTTCCCTGCTGAACCTCTGCTTATTCTACACAACTTAATTCAAAAATCACCCTCTGACCTCTGCTTCCCAATATCACCCAGAGTCGGGTGCCCCTCCACTGTGTGGCTTTGGCCTTGTATTCATACTCTCTAGGAGAAAGCACATAACATTGGATTCCAACGAGTTGTTTTTCTGCTTGCCTATCTGAGTGAGACCAAGAATTGTGTGTTTTTCTGCTTTTGATTCTCTTAACGGCGGATGATACGTGGCCCGCACCAGTGATCTATAAGCGTTTGTTCCGCGAATGAATAACGGGCAGTATGCCCCTGGCCTGGATACTTTGTGGCGGGGCGGGGGGGTGGTGGACAGGGGGGTGTAAGACAGATGCAGTACTGGACACCTGACACAGTCAGGTAAAACACCTAAATTACGAAGCTCTGAACTTAACGGCACCAGCAATAAAAATTGTAGCAGTGAAGAGGAGTGACAGTAAAATTCCGTGGGAAGGGTTCATGGAGAAGGTAAAATTTGAGGTAGGCTTTGACAGAGGCATTAAAATGGAAGAAGGTGGGATGCCCGGGTGGCTTAGTTGGTTAAGCGTCTGCCTTCGGCTTGGGTCATGATCCCAGGGTCCTGGGATTGAGCCCAACTTTTGGCTCCTTGCTCAGCGGGGAGTCTGCTTCTCCCTCTGCCTGCCACCCCCCCGTTTGTGCTCTCTCTCTCTTTTTCTGACAAATAAATAAATAAAACCTTAAAAAAAAAAAAAGATGAATTGGAAGAAGGCGGTGGCCTCATCTTCCCGGTAGGTTCTCCGGGGACATAAACTTTTGGACAGAGAAGTCAGGACATAGACTGTCAAGAGAAGGCCAAGAATGAGTGTGGCTTTACGTTGAGGAGTAGGTTAAATTCTTCCCATTCTTCATTGTAGGCAACAGTGGGCTCTTCTTCCAATATCCAGTTTTATGACTCCTTCCTCTGCTCTAGGAGGCATGTCTAAAACATGCTCCTCTCACTGACAACATGTGGAGACGGTGTCTGTGGTGTTCCCGTGGACTGGGGACACATCGATCTGCAAAGATGATGTGAAATAATGTTTTTTAGCAAATTGAGTATGGAACTCTGCCTCAAAATTTGCAGTGCTCGTCTTAGCCTTGACCTTTCCTGTTCTTCTTTTATAATTTTATGAAATACATTCCAGGGTCCGTTTTGGCCTAAAGCTCAAAGCTAGAAAGCATCTCTGTTGCCTTTGTTTTCCTAAACTTCGGCTTTTCAATGTCTGGATTCGGAAATGCCATTTGATGATGGAGGATAACAAGTCCAAGGGCGAAAAGCAGTGGGCTGAGGGGAGGGAGCAGCCAGCAGAAGTCGAGGCAGCCTCGGGCCGGGTGCGGTGCAGCCAGGCCATGTTCAGCAGCAGGTGTGGAGGCTGATGTGAGGCGTGTGTGTGTGTGGGGGGGGTTGGGCACGTCCAGGTGGCAGCAGGGTTCAGTGGGCCAGGCAGCGAACTGCTCACCGAAACGATCTGTTTCCACCTTTCTGCACCTCGCCAAATCAGCCACTGACCATTTCCTCCCTCAGATTTGCTCATCCCCAAAGAGGGAATAACAATGTGTCTTCCTCAGAGGAATTACTGACCAGTGTCTCATTTGGGAGCCGCTAATAGAAATGGCAGTGAAGACCTTTGAACACAAGAAACAAAGCACACAAGTAAAAACAACAGGAAGTGGAAGAGAGAGCACTCTGTGACCCGAAATGTTCTGTGTCATATGCCGGTGTCAGGAGGTTATAAGGCTTCAGTGAGATGTGTTCCTTAGGAGGATGGTAATGCTGAGGACCCAGTAACTGTGAACCCAGCACCCTGTTCCAGCTTCTCAAGGAGCACATGCTTCTCCTGGAGCATTTGTGTCTGCGCTGGAATTGCCCCATCCCCCTCCCATCCCCTTCTCAACTTTGTACAAACAGCAGTGGCCGATTGACTCTGCTACACAAATGACTCATGATTTCATGAGCTGCAAGCAGCAGGTCCCGAAGCAGCTTTTCTGAGCTCCGAGGACAGAAAAGAGGCACCCAGAGGCACATCGCTTACAGGCTAGGTCTTTCTGATTTGTGAGGCGAAGACGGGAAGGGAACAACCAGACCCCAGCTCAATCATCCAAGATCAGCTAGAGAGTGAAACACTAGTAACTGACTTCAGAAGGCACACAGTTCTTTCAAAATCTTCAGTCTATGCTTCCGAATTGGACCCGAGTTCAAATTCTCAGTTCTCACGAGAGGTCAAAGCATGTACATTTGGGGCCTTTCAGTACACATGGATGCAATTAAGAACTGAACGAGGAAAAGGCGACTCTCTGCAGTTTTCAGCACACATCAGCTCTCTGACAGCCTCTAAAAAAAATCTAGCCGCCTTTAGGGGGTGGTGTGGGTAGCCAACCCCTGCTATTTAAGACAGAAATTTCAGCCAAGGATCTAGAAAGCAAGTGTACAGCGTGTTCCACATGACTATGCGCATTTCTCATCTGGAAGACAACTGCACCAACAGTTCCTGGAGTTTTCTTGGTTATTTAAACCCTCTACCTTGAAGCTGAGTTCACGGCTTCTCAGCATTGGCAGCCAGGTCCCGTTTTGTTGTATGCTTTCACAGAAAGAATAGGAAACCATAGAGGAAAATGAGAACTAACGTTTCCATGGAGTATATATCCCTTATCACATTTAGTCCTCATAAGAACCCTGAAAAGTTAGTGCTCTTTTCTCCTTTTTACAGACTTTTTCAAAACCGAAGCTCAGAAAAGTTCAATAGCTTATCTAGGATCTAGATACCTAGAAATGGAAGTGCTAGAATTAGAATCCAGGATTTCTTGACTCAAAAGCCTGTGTTTCATCCACAGCATCAGTTTCACCAGAATAACTTGGGCATGGCCTCAGAAGTCCTATGCAGGAAATGTGCCTTAAAAAGGAATCATTTTTTTATTATTCAACTATTAGACTGCTTAGGTATTACATTACATAGACATTCTGAGCATCAGTAATAAATCAAATGAAGGAGAAATACCTTCACTATCACACACACACACTTTATATGTATGTATATATTTTTTAAATTGTCTCTTTGTTTCAGGACTGGGAATGAGCATAATTAGAATTTGCTGTTGGGCGTCTGTGTCCACTTTAACCTGATCTATTTTGTCTAACGTTTCTTTGCAAAGCTCTCAAATGCATTGTTAGCCTATCTGATCCTGTCGTCTAGAGACCGCAAAGTATTTCACATCTTACCCGGGGAACCGATCACTTTTAAGGAAGGGAGGGCATTCTTTACTGACATTTCCTAATTTAAATCCATTGAATGTTGTTTCAACTGCCGTTTTAAGGGCAAAGAAAAAGCAATGCATCTGTAAAGAGCTCTGTCACTTTTCTCCATGTGATGACTAATAGCAGGGAACTGAAAACTTTATCCTTGGTATCTTTTGGAGTCCAGACAATTCAACGCTCTCTTGGGATGAGTAAATATCAGCCTGTTCCCAGGAAGATTAACTAGTAAGATGATGGAGGAAAAGCTGCTTCTTTTTAGAGAGCTACACTTAAACTGCCATCTATACTTCTTACGACAGAATCTCAGATGATTCATTTCCATGGTGCTATGATTTCTAGAAAGAAAAGATATTTTATGCAGTTTTAAGGGTAATGGTAGTTCTTTTCAAGGTGTTGATTTTGGTCTCAAAGTTACAGTTTGTTAATGTAATGTATTTACTGACCTTCAAAAGGCCTTAAAGGGGAGTAGAATTAGCAGACCTGTGTTTCAGGGCACCCCATTTCTGGCGTATACTTGTAGGCAGATCCTCAATTTCTTTACCTACTATGGAGGGAGCAATTCCGATCCAGCGTTCCTCCTGGCTTCACATATAAAGGGGAAAAAATGAAGAATATTTAAGTACTTTGGAAGTTCTGAGATTCCCAATGGGAAGAACCAAAGCATGAGTTTTGTGGATAGAAAGCCCCAAATTGGAAATTCAGCTTTGCTACCTACCACCTGTCTGGACAAATCTCCTCAACTCTGTGCATCTTGGCTACCTTATCTTTAAAGTGGGCCCAAATCAGTTCCTACCACCTGGGATAGTTGTGAGGAGCAAATGGACTACTGGCCCTTAATTAGAACATAAAGAAACCGAGGCCCCAGCTGGAAGTGACTTACCCAAGTTCGTCCATCAACAGAGACTTACTGGGCTCTACCAAGCAGTGTGTTTGCAGGGGTTCCTGAGCTACTGTTTAAATTAGCATGCGGCCTCAGCTCTTAGGGAGACTCCCTCTCACAATTGAGAGCTCTTTTTGCTTTGTTTCGGCAGGAATGGTCATATTGCTGACTCTTTCTTGTTTATGGGCTGATGACTCATTTATGAGTTATCTAAGCCTCCTGTTCTTCCTCTCTTGCTCTCTTCTGCCATCTCTATCATGAGAGTTTTCTTTCTGCTAGCACTTCTCCTGGAGATTGTGAAAGAGCGGCTAGCGACAGTGAGTTAACTCCTTGTTCGCAGCCTCATCTCGCAAGACAGCGCCAAGCTCTGCTTCCTGAGTTCCCGCTGCTTCGATTTCCGCATGGCCGTGGGCCTCATTCTGCTCTGCTTGCTCCTCCTTGCTGTGTTCTCTTCTCCCGCAAAATCCTTAAATGTCAGTGTTCCTCGGGGATCTGCCCTTGGTCTTCTCCCTTCATTCTTCTTGCTCTCCCCAGGTGATCACATATGAGCTTGTGTCCTCGGTTACCTCCATCTGATACCACCGACTCCTAAATCCAGGATCTTTCACACGGGCGCTCACATCACTGCCACATCCGGATGCCCCTTGAACATCTCTGCCTGTGTCCCGCAGGCACATCCAGCATGCTGTGTCCACAACGACCCTGCTCGCTAGTCCCCCCTGTTCTCTGTCTCTCTCACACACGCACATACATACAGCACTTTCCTCTGCCTGCCTGTCCTTCTCCACCCCTAGTGCACGCTCCATATCCATCCACTGTCCAAATCATCTTCGTTGTATCTTGAAATCTGTCTTGAGTCTGGACCCCTTTCTCATCTCTGATAAAGATGCACCAGTTCTGCCCTCATCTTTTTTCTTCCTGTGTTAGCATAATGGCCTTCGAAGTTCCTCTGTGGCCTACTTCTCTCCATTCTACCAATTTGCATTCTGTATTCTGCAAGAGATAATTTCAAAACCAAAATTTATCTTTGTTGATCTTCTATTAGACATATTTTGCTAGAACCTCATTGCCTACAGAAGGGCTATATATATAGCTCACTGCCTACAGAAGATAGGATACACACATAGAGTTTCCTGGATTAGAACTCCAGCCTCTTTCCACCCTCTCTCCACGAGGTACCCTGTGGGCCATTGTGCTCCATTCACAATAATTAACTTGCTGCTTTTCCCCAAGTGCTTGCTCTATAAGAGCTGTGTGTTTTAAAAATAATCATTATGTTTAAGCTAATCTGACTCCAAATTTCTAATTATTATATTAGATACAAAGATAAATGAGGATTAGAAATCTAAATATAGTCCAATAAATAGAATGAAGTCAGCATAATGGGCAGTTTGAGGAAGAAATGCATATACAATGCTATAGAAAAGGAAGGGACAAAAGAGTTCCCAAACTTAATTAAACCAATTATATTTACATATGCTCCAGTATGAAATCATATTAGAAGTTGGGTGATACATCCATATGTTGGTGTATAAAAGTATCTAAGTATGTAGTTAATTAGCTAATGTGGTGCCTAGAGATATGACAACAATAATAATAATTGTACAGCCCTACCTCATTTTATCGTGCATCACAGATAATGCATTTTTTACAAATTGAAGGTTGGTGGTAACCCTTCATGGAACAAGTCTGTGGGCACCATTTTTCCAATAGCGTTTGCTAACTTCACGTCCCTGTGTCACATTTTCGTAATTCTCGCAATATTTCAAAGTTTTTCATTATGATTATATTTGTTACAGTAATCTGGGGCCAGTGATTACAAATCCCTGAAAGCTCAGATGATGGTTCACATTTTTAAATAATAAATTATTTTTAAAGTAAGGTCTATACATTTTTTAGACATAGTGCTATTGCACATTTGGTGGACTCCAGTATCATATAAAAATAATTTTTATATGCACGGGGAAACCAAAAACCTCATATGACTTGCTTGACGGTAATACTCATTTTATTGTGGTGGCATGGAACCAAAACTGCGATATCTCCGAGGTACGCCTGTACTAACTCACATTATTCGGCACTTACTATATGCTGGGTGCTGTACTAAGTACTCCACATGCATCGCGTAATCCTCCCAATGTCTCTTTGATGCAGTTCCTATTACTGCTCTTGTTTAAATGTGAATAAAATGAGTCATAGAAAGGTTGAACAACTTGTGGAAGGGTGAAACAAACAAGTTTTGGAGCTATTTGAATGTAGCCCTGGTCGTTCTGGTGAAATGAATGAATGCCTTGTAATCATCTTGATGTCATACTAATTAGTAAGTAAATTGATAAATCATTTGATAAATTTGTATAAACTGTTTTGACACACCTAAAATGATAAGGCATACCCATTATTGAGAAGAAAAGAGGAGATTCATTGAGAATCATCCAAGTTAGGTATAGTTAACAAGTTAACAATTGGTTAGGTATAGTTAACTATTGGTTGTCTAAATCCACCCCTTTACTTTGCCTTAAAGTCTGCTTTTCTATCAAAATCTCAAACATGTACTATTAAATATGCCTGTTTGCATTTCCTGGACCTGGAACTCTTTCTTGAGTAGAAATGTAAGAAAAGCTATTTCTTTAAAATTGGACAATTACCAGGAATGACCACTAATATATTTTTGAAGCAAAGTGTGAGATTTTGAGGTCTATTACTTGGTGTGGGAAATAGTTTCCTGCTGGAGGGTAACTAAAAAAATAATCGATAGTGCGTTCTGTGGGTACTGTTCAAGTATAAATGTACTCAAAACAGTCACAATTAAAAGAGCCTGCAGGTTTTATAATGCCTTTTCCCAGGCTAATTACCTGTCCATCCTGGTATAGTACAGGCTGCCAATAAAGAATGCAATTTTTTTCTTGATATTCGACCCCCAGTGTTCAATTTATGAATAGAATGTAAAGATGGAGCTGCCTTACTTATAAGATTTGCAGGACATGGAAAAAATTCCCTTGTCCCAAAAGACTTTGACCCTAAGAACAACAACAAAGCTGTAGATTTTAAAGAAGTTCAGGTCTTTGGTTGCTGTCTATTAACAAGTAAATATCTTTGGGAGAGTAACTACTTTTGTCTTTATCACTCCCTTAAGGAGTCTAATGGCCAGCAGCTGACATGCGGATTTCCAGGCCTATCACAAAGATGCTTTGATGGGTCTGCGATCAGACCCAGGAGTCTGCCATTTTAACAAGCGCTTTGATGATTCTGATTTCAGTGGTCTTCTGGACCATCTTTTGAAAAAAAACCTTGGCTTAATGGATAATCGAGATGCTGGTTGTTAACAAACTGGTGACATAGAAGCAAGAATAAAAAGAAAAACTGAAAAGTTAGCAAACTCAAAATTCATCTCCTGGAAAATATCATCCTGACCTCTCCCTGCCTTGATTCTCTCTGACCTTTATTACTTCAAGTATCAACAGGTAAAATAAATGAAACACAAACTCCTTAATGGAGTGTAAAAACTCCAGAAAAGGAGGGAAATGACTCTTGTTTGTTTCCAAATGGTTGTTCTTTTTTAATAGCCCCAGACATCAGTGCTGAAATGCTAAAAATTTTAGAGCAGAGTGTACAAAACGTTCTTGAATTATATTTCATTCTTGGGTGCCAGGCACATTGAGTTTGTATCACAAAACACTGAAATAATAAAAAGCAGGTGCCCTGTCAAGTTTCTTTCATAACTGGGAAACCAAGAGTTGAGGTATTTTGCAAAAAATGTTGACAAAATCATCCCAGTGAATGCATCCAGTACCTTTACTATACATTGAATGAGAGACGGATTGGAGTGGGGAGAGAGGGGAGAGAGTACTTTAGAATATAGTAGACCACAGATTAGGCTAATAATACTTTTTACGATCTGTAGGAAATAAATCTCTCTCTTTTTTTTTTTTAATCACTGCAGCAAAAATGTGGCCAGTTGTTAAAAGGAGCTTGCTCCATGAGATGGAGACTCTGAGTTTGGAAGCTTAGAATAAACCTTGCAAGAGCACTAGTATGGAGAAAACAGGAAGACAACTTCCGCTCTGAACATACACCATTTCCTGGGGAGGAAGTGGGACTTTAAAAAAAAAAAAATGTTCTTTGTTGACTTTGTAACAGAGAGGCATCTATTTAGTGATGACTATATTATATGTTTATACAACCAGGACGCCAACTTTAAAAAATAAGAAAATCCTGAAAGTAGCTTCTCTATTTGATCATGGCAAAGTTCAGAGTCGTTGGATCAGTTGGTTTGGAATTTGTCGCATTTTATGATCATCATTAATTTACTTATAGCCACGCACATAGTGCCTGGACAGTTTTTAAAGGACAGCAGTTAAACACCACATGGTACAGCGGATTTCAGCCCTGCTTTTATTTTAAATACCGTGGCATATCCTGAGGCAGCCTCACGACCCAGTAGGCAGAGCTGCGGAGTGGCTGGGGCCCCCCAGGACCCGTGCTCACCAAAGGCCAGCTCCATGCACCTACATGAGAAGGGGCAGTGCCGGGCAGCGACGCAGATGGGCACCATCTATGATCAGTTCAGTATGTGGGATAACTATTGGCTGAAATCTGTTTATAACCAACTTCATCTAAGGACGAAGCAGAATCATTAAGGTGACCACAGCTTCCTAACTAATTTGGGGAATTGTGAGCATAGACCAAGAACCACGAGAACCAAGAGTCCCTGAGTCTAAGATAGTACCATACCTTGACTTTACATAGTAACTTTCACATGATATTGAATTTTTTTGGACGGAATTTGCCCTGTAACCTTTAAGGGACTGAAACGATGGGCCAGCAAATAATTGAAAGGGCATCCTTTGCAGGCATAGCTTTAAAAAGCAGAAAGGGCAGTGCTCAGAGGCAGCCCAAAGCCATAGATTTCCAGATTACAATAGAGAATTCTCACTGGTACAGGAACAGGAAAACAAGTCCCTTCAGTGAGGGCAGAGTATATCTCTTTTATGAAAACAAAAGGGGAAACGGATTTAACATCTTTCCTTAAGTTACCTTGAAAGAATGTTATGGTGCAAATTTACTCTGTTTCTTCAGGAGGCTGGATGATATCTTTCCCTGCCCTTTTTTATCCTCGTAACACTTCATGGTCTATATAATTTTTGTCCTTCTTTTATTCACCAAACTTAGTAT